CATTGTCTCGATAGTTTCCATTTTTTTTATCCACAGCCTATTATATCTGGCCTATTATATCTATTCTTTCATCCAATGCGCTCTCTCGCCTCTCTCCTCCATACTCACTATTATCATTATCTACTAGCTATTATTATCTACTAGGTAAATTTCCGCGTCTCTGCTTTCTCGCTGCGCGGCGGGCTTCCTGTCGAGTGTCCTCACACTTGGGATTGATTTCCGACCAGGAATGCATCCCAAAGTTGGGAATCTATCTCATCGAGGATGGCTTCATACAGCCTCAGTTTTCCGTTGCTGGTACTACCCGACAGAAAACAAAGACGCAAAAGGGTTCGCGGACGATTCACTGCAAGTACTGTAGCGATTTATCTAGTGTCAATTTAGATGGGATGTTTTTTGGAAACACTACATAAACGCTACAGTACGCGCTGCGACTCGTTCGCTGACCGATGTCAGACTTTGCGAATCGCGCGATCGCTAGCGTCCGCGGTTGCGTTGCGGTACCAGCCAATTGAGTGATTTACTGGCTGCGACGCGACCGCAGACGCTACCGAATCGCGCGATGCGCAAAGTCTGACATCGGCCTGACCGTCTACGTCCCTTTCTTCTCGTTGTGCGACGGGTCCTGTCGGGTATCCTCATTTCAGATAGACTTGCAGGAGAAACCTCCATGTAGCGAGGCACAGCAGAGTCGACAGTAGACAGCTTATGCTGCCGGCAGCGCCCCACTAGTTTGTGAGGTGGTAGCAATCACGGACGAGTGGGCGTGTCTGCAGCAGATGCTGTCGACAGTGCTGCGGCCGGTAGCTTACTCAGATAGGGCTGCAGCAGCTTGGCAGCAGAATGGGATTTGCGAATCTCAAGTCATCGGAGTGTTCGAGTAAAAAGGGGCGGATCCTTTGCCGGATATGCTGCCATGCTCGCAGCACATGCTGCGCACAGTTCCACCGCTGTGCTGCTGTAATCTGAACGACTGACGTCTGCTGCAACGAGCACTGCTGCACCTCTAGGGAGTGCAGCCTAGGAGCAGTACTAACGACGCAGCACTACTGGACATATGCTGCAACCAGCACTGCTGCACTTCTACAGCACCCTACCGCCTCCCCAGGGGGCCCCTCCGGGATTAGCAGTACTACTGCTAATCTAGTGAGGCCCAGCTACTGCCATAATACTGCATATCCATATGGCCAATATTGGCCACTCCTGGACAAGTGGCAGTACTACTGCCAAACTACTGTAAGCCAACTACTGCCAAACAACGGTAAAACATGCACGTTTATCCTAATGGCACCAAAGCAAACAAATCTTCGAGCATCTGATCATACGCGATTTAGGTCCAAAAATTAATTTTCTCTGGAAACTTGGCTAGGGGGGTTTTCAAGGGTGCTGAACACAGTGGTGAACTCGGTTTTGCACAAAAGTTTCAAATTTAGGGTATTTTGGGTAAAAAGCTGGTTTTTTCAAAATCCAGCCATAGAAACTTAGAAACTTCTACCCCGGGGCCAATCTGGGGTGCTGAGCACGAATCTGGGCTCGGTTTTGCCGAAAAGACCGAAATTCAGAGTATTTCGAATTCCGCTCAAGTTTTAGCCAAAGAAACTTCTACCCCGGGGCAATCTGGGGTGCTGAGCACGAATCTGGGCTCGGTTTTGCCTAAAAGACCGAAATTCAGAGTATTTCGAATTCCGCTCAAGTTTTAGCCAAAGAAACGTCTACCCCGGGGCAATCTGGGGTGCTGAGCACGAATCTGGGCTCGGTTTTGCCTAAAAGACCGAAATTCAGAGTATTTCGAATTCCGCTCAAGTTTTAGCCAAAGAAACGTCTACCCCGGGGCAATCTGGGGTGCTGAGCACGAATCTGGGCTCGGTTTTGCCTAAAAGACCGAAATTCAGAGAATTTCGAATTCCGCTCAAGTTTTAGAAGTTTTTTTTAAAGGTTTTTTTAGTTTTTTCTTCTATAGAGGTTTCTCTTGCAAGTTTATTCGAGTGCTTTGGGAATTCATACCCAGGCGAGTATGGCTGCATACAGCCTCTGTTTTCCGTTGAAGGGACTGCTGGTCTAATTAGGGCACAGTGGCAGTCGTGAAAAAAATCGTCATTCATTTGTTGTTCTGCAGTACGGCAATTGTTTAGAGGGAAATGATGTAGGCCGCTGGTGACCTAATTGTAAATGAATCCATGAAAAATAAATCGTATTACAAGTTTCGAGTTCCTACTTCTGTGGTCTAGAATACTACAGATAGATATCACAAAGGGTGTTGATGGGAGCTTTGCTCCATAAATTTTGATGCAGATTTAGGTTTTCAATTCTATTCAGGTAGGCCGCATTTGGTACAGCAGTTCCTGCGCACGAATTGACGCTTCCCTTCCCCATTGGAAGAGAGATCTTCCTGTTCTGATCAGCAGGTTTATGCGCTAGATCGCATTCGCAGTGTTTCCGTTAGTGATGAGGCATGGTTGCCTGTTATCAACAAGGACCTTGAATATTAGCCGACAAGCATACAAAACGTTCTCAATGTCTAGTACTGCACACATAGAGGGGGGGACTTTGGGAGCGGGGGAGGGAAGTGAAATTCCTGGTATTTGAATCGATCACTCGCCTGGGATTTCCTCTAAGTGAACCTTCCTCGGTATTGTTGTCATTCGCTCACAAATCGCTTTTTTACGTTTCTTCGCACCCAAAATCGTAAACACACATAAAGCAAAATGGGCCAGAGCATAGAAAAAATCCGCAGCATGGGTCCACACGACAGCGTCCTGGCTTGTAATAATTTGGTATGTCTTCATGTGGGCAGAAGTACACTGGCTCCAGGTTAACAATCGCGTCGGAGCAGAGACGCGAGTTCTCGAAGCAGGGTCAATCCTACGTTGTTACTAGTAACAACGGGGGGTCGTACCTGGTTGAGTTTATAGGAGGGGGGGGGTCGTATCCGCTTCAGTCGCGTGAAAGTACATGTGAGTTTGTGGTGAAAGTGGAGTTTTCACGAGTAGTAGGTAGAAGTGGGGTAAAGTTGTTGAAATTTAGGGGATTTTGGTAAAATTTTTGTTTACTGTTTTTGCATGGTGGGGTGAATCCCGCCCCCCCCCTCCTCCCCCGCTCGACGGCATTTTTGGAGGAAAAAGTGGGCGGAGTTTGGTGGGTTGAGTGGTACCAGAATTAAATACTATAGAGAGGAATATGGTGGTCGAGGGTCGAAAAGGGGGTCGTACCAAGTCCACCTTGGGGGAGGGGGGTCGTAAAAAATTTTGAAAAAGTAACAACGATAGGACTGACCCTGCTTGCAACTCCCTACGATCAGCGGAACTCTCCTGCGCCTCTTCCCCTTAGAGATGGTTATTGGGTACTTGCACAGAATTGGGTTTGAGAGAAAAAAGCTCTACCCTGGTACAAGGTACAGCGCCCGGCGTGCATATCTCGCTTTCTTATATGCCACTTCTTTACTTTCATTCGTGTTCGCTGCGACCTTTGAGTACGTATTTTACTGCCGATGTAGAAGTCAGAAATCTGCAGTTTAGCAGAGAGCTTCAAAATCGAATAGGTGCTTTCATCTTCCCATCCACGCCAATTACTCAATGTTTGAAGATGGGAGGCATGATTTGCTTGGTAGGGATTTGATCCGAGATTGATCTACGGACTATGTCTAGTGATTGGAGGTGTTAATTGTCACGCCACCATCGCTTCTAGCTGTGAAAGTTGTTGACAATCACTGGAATATGTATAAAATGCTTCTTAAAATTTTTTGAAAGCCATTGCTATGTACTTTGAGCTTATTCCAGTTTCGCTTCAGGAACTTCAACAAGCTATGAAAGACGCCACGCTCATGGCACAGGAGATTCGAGAGAAGACTGAAAGGCTTCGAGATCGGTGAATTTTGACTGAAATAATTTGGTCATATCTTTCATTTGCAGTCCCACTAAAGCCTAGTACGGGGCGGGAAACGTCTAGGCTTGACAGGTGTGAGCATCGCGCGAGTTATGCAGTATCCAACAATTGAGTATACGGTTGCGGTGACAGCAATCTCTGCAACGCTGTGACAGCCGCTTGTAATGTGCATGCGATGCATAGCAAGCATGGCTGCGGTGTGTAAGTGTACTCACTAACGAAATATCGAAATGTGACTTCTGGTTCATGTTTTCGGGTGTCCCATTCTGATTTATTTCAGAACTACATTAGCTGTAAAGAGTTTCAGGGTGACCATCGTGAAAGCTGGAGATGTGTGCGCTAAATGTGAGCGTTCATTGATTGGAAGGCCTTTCCATGCTCACCATTGCCGGCATTTCTTTCATCGAGAGTGTCTGGAGGAAGAGATGATGCCATTTTTGAGCGAGGTTGGTCGAATAAGAATGCCTATATGGATAGGAGCATCCGAGAATTTTATGTTAAAGATTTCACTCGAATAACCATATCATTACTATTTTTCCCACCGCGTTTTTCAATGAGAATTGAGATATTGGAAGTTATTAGATAGTAATATGAGACCTGTTGCAGTTTTTGTGTTAAAACGCCTCTAATAATGTCGTTTTCTTAATATTTGAAATTGCTGGAAAAGCAGTTAATGCTCAGAAATTTTCCTCTTCGTTGTAGGAATTGAAAGCCCGTCTTAGTGACCTTGAGGCAACCGAGAAACGGTTATTTGCGCAACTTCAAGCTGCTGATCGAGTTCCCACAGCAACCGACAAGTTCACCGATGGTGAGTATCTTTTTTAGTTTCACCACCCATTTTCTTCTTAGCTATTCTTGTATTTTATAATTAAAGTTTCCAGAGCGAAAAGCACGCTTTATGAAAGTCACATGCGAAATCAATGAAATAATTGGTACTCAATGCCCTCTATGTGGTTTGACTGCTATCGAGTAAGTCTTGTGAAAGATTGCTGATTTCTGTAGTAATAGGCCCTATGCGATCCTATTCTACTCCTTATGATTATCTTCCGAATGGAAATTTTCAGGCTGATCGATAAGCCTTTCTTCACGGAGGAGCAGTTTGAAGCTGATCATGAGTCTTGGGAGATCTAGTAGGAGTCATCGCAGCATTGATCAACACACTGTCAATTTTACTTAGTTCTTAAAATATTGAATACGGAAGTCTTTGTGATATGTAAATACTATTGTTCAGACATGAAAACAGTCTAATAAATTTTATTTTTCCGCTTTCTCTTAGCCCTCACACTTACAGTCCATTCATTCCGATATTTTCTTGCAGCTGATGCTGAGATATTCATATCGTTACGGTCATTTTCATGAATTGCAAAAGTTGACGTTCTCCTTTTTTCTAGTGAATCCAAAAGCCTGGCCTAGTACCTTAAGGCACAACTCAGTATGGGTTCAGGTGGATGAACGTTTCAGTGGTCTATCCTACCTAGAGTTGTTAACGGAGGTTGCAGATGACTGGTTTTCTGTGTTTCTAAGTTCTTAATGAGGGTCCTATGTAAGTTTTTAGTGAAGGGTGCTTAGGGCCTGGAATATTGACCTCGATAGTTCTTTTTTTCATCCACAGGCACTATTAGATCTGGCATTCTATCACAGATGCCTCTCTCCCTTCTTCTCCATGCTGCAGTTCGCGATGCCTCGAAGGCAGAGTGGAGGCAGCTCTATAAAAATCGGTATTCAGTGGTGCAGAGATGAAGAAAAAGCTATGTATACGGCTCGGAAACGAGGAATGAGCTTCTGCTTTACCTAGTAATGACTACATTGATGCGACTCGCGTGATGCTGGTTAAAGCATAACAGCTCTTGAAAAGCGGAGCACTAAAATCAGTTATCTATCGAAGGAGAGTGGTACAGCTTCAGCGGCACCCTGCTAGCTATTGCGGGAATACTCTTCGCTGGAGTGCATGCGTCCCGCTCATTAGAGGGCCTGCTGTCCTTTATTACTAGGCTAGATTTCCGCGTCTTTGGCTTTCTCGCTGCGCGGCGGAGCCCTGTCGATGAATGTCCTCACATTTGGGATTGATTTCCGACCAGGAATGCATCCCAAAGTTGGGAATCTATCTCATCGAGGATGGCTTCATACAGCCTCAGTTTTCCGTTGCTGGTACTACCCGACAGAAAACAAAGACGCAAAAGGGTTCGCGGACGATTCACCCAACTTACGAATTTTATTAGAGTCATTAGAATGGGAGATTGTATTGGAGGAAACACCTACTATACGCGAATATAGGTTACGCGCTGCGGAATCGCTTCTTCTCACTGTCGACGAGGGTACTGTAGGTATCCTAATCTCAGATAGACTTGCGGAGAAACACCGAGTAGTGTCGACAAGTCGGACAATTTATGCTGCTGCGCGCCCATAGGTTCGCGGACTGGTTCGGATGGTAGGCAGACCAATCACGGACGAGATGGGGGTCTGCAAGCAGATGCTGTTAGACAGTGCTGCAAGCTGTAGACTACAGAGGTTTCTCTTGCGAGTTTATCCGAGTGCTTTAGGGAATCCATACCCAGTCGAGTATGGCTGCATACAGCCTCAGTTTTCCGTTGCAGGGACTGCCGGTCTAATTACAGGCACAGTGGCAGTCGTGAAAAAATCGTCATTCATTTGTTCTGCAGTACGGCAGCGGTTTAGAGAGCGGAAAATAATGGAGCCCGCTGTGAACCGAATGTGGAAAAATTACCGAGTCATGATTGACAGAGTTTCGAGTCCCTCTTACTTCGGGGGTCTAAATACTACAGATAATAGGGTCAAATATCCAGTCAGGGTGCATCATATGCAGTTCGTCAAGGCTTGTAAGCTAGAGGAACTCCGGAGCAGGAGAGTGCAGTGTAGCCGAGTTATACGGGGAGTGGAGATGGGAACGAGTAACTTGACTCATGCCGTCAAAAAGCTAGAACTTTTGCAAGTTAACATAGTTCGCCGAAAAAAGCTGAATCATGCTTGCCCCTCCCCCCCAGCTAGAATTAAGACCCACAGATAGATATACATAAGAGGTGTTGATGGGAGCTTGCTCATAAAAGGGCAGGTTCAGGTTTTCAATTTATTAGGTAAGGCACATTGGGCTACAGCCAGTTGCTCTGGATCGAATGACGCCACCACGCTCCCTTCCTTATTGGAGAGAGTTTACAACTTTTTACTATTTTGATCTCAGTAGCGCTTAGGGTCGCATCCGGCAATGGTTTCCGTCTTAGTGATGAGCATGTGTTGTGGTAGGATCAGCAGAGGGGACCTGGAGTATTAACCACACAGATACAACCGCGTCCGATATATTAGGAATGAAACATTAAGGAGAGGGACTTTGGAGAGCGGGGAGCAGGGGGAAAATCCTGGGTATTTAATTAAACTCGATCACTCGCCTGGGATTTCCTCTACCTTCTCGGTATTATTATCATTCATTGGCTCACAATCCTTTTTTTTCGCACCGAAATCGTAAAACACACATAAACTAAATGCAACATAAAAAATCCGAAAAATGGGGTCCACACGAGCGTCATGGCGTGTGTAATTAATTGGCTAAGGTCTTCATGGCAGAAGCAGCATGGATTCCAGGGTTATGATATTCGTTGTAAGAAAATGACGCAGGACAGTTAAATCCCACCGAAGACGAAGCCTACGGCCCGCGTTCTTTTGAGATGTTGATGTGATTATGGCAATTGTGGTTGTTGAGTTGTTGAGTCTTGGCTTCGATCTCATAATTTTTTGTTTTCTCGAAATGCCGTCAAGAGTGAGGCGGGGCGGGGTTATATGTAAGCGTTTATAGGAGAGTATCGACTCTTTCATGTTTTTTTGGCACTATTCCATAGTTCTCATTCAGACCCAGAGACCCGATAGACGGGCTTCATTCTACCAAACAAGGCCGGCAAAGAGTGCGACCTCCATCATAAAATCTCGTAACCATGCGTCTCCCTGATAAAGTTGACCTAGAGAACACGGGCAGTAGTGTTCACCTACTTCTCCAGCAATGGGCAAACGGCCTCAGGCAGATCATCGATTCTATGCGACATTTTACAATAGAGTATACTCACATTCTCAAAAACCCTAGTTGTGGATTACCATGCTTGAAAAAAAGGAAGAGGAGGGGTCTTATGAGGGAACTCTTTCAGAACATGAAGCGCTTTTTCAAAACGGTCTCCTGCATGCTATAGAGGACGACTATCAGCAGCTACTGGCGAATACATGTTTTGTGAGCGGTTTCTAGTGAATGCTAAGAAACATGTGAGAGCGGGTTGTGTTATCCTCATCCCCAATAAAGATATTTTTTGTGTCATCTGCTATTTCCATTTTCTTTCATACAAGTCTAAGTTTATTCAGTGAACAAAAAGCTTCCAATATGTAACTACTGAAGCGCTACAAATGCGGTAGTGTTCGTTGAGAATGGAAAGGTTCCATTTTCAAGTGAGGATTTCTGCCCTTTCTCTGGCAATCTCAGGGCCGTTTAGAAAAAATGATCATCGGTTTCATGTTCCACGCATGCGTCGTTACCATATCGCGAAGAACTGTAATTTGAAAAAAAGGCTATCCTGAAAGACTTTCCTGGTTGGTAACTGGCCTGCTCAGAAAACCAGCCGTTGACACATAGTCGAGGTAGAGTTCGAAGGGCAGACTCCACGCAATGAAATAGAAATCCTGTACGCAAAAGAGGGGGATGGATTTTGCGCGCTGGCGGAAGTATGAGCTCGGGCTGTGACGCGTAACGCATGGGTACTGCCTTACTTCAAATTGCGTGTCAAGTTCTCTGAAACAACAAAATATGGTAACGGAAAAATAACGTCATACTTCTTGAATTTAGAGCTCCGTTCCTATTTTACAGGCATCAAAACCCTACGATTCAGTAACAGTCTCAGAGAGTGATTACTCTTCACTGGTGGACCACTCACTTGGTCATTCAACTCCTTTTTCTGCATCACGGAAAAAACTCAATTTTTCGTCTAGGTCGTCGTCCTGCGTCATCTTAAGCTTTTCTTTTGTGAGACTGCGGCTCGAGCATGGAAGCTGCCGAGGCCAAAATAGAGAATTTGTATTATATAGTGGTCATATGCCCAAAGCAGGGACCATAGTGAAGACGCATTTGTGCCTCTGAGTCTATTGAGCACAACTGGACGCAGATGAGGTACTGGGGGTTCACGGAGGAAGGGGATGAGCAAGCCGAGATAACTCGCAACGTGGGCGCAAATAGGCAATCGGTTAAGACAGAACTAAGTTAAATCGTTCCGTCTAAACAATACAGGGTCAAAGAAAAGGATCGGCACCTTCGCATTTAGAAGCGAGTTTTATTGCAGTAGGGGCGGAAGTGGTGTAGTGACAAGTGGCCGCGCTTACCACGCGAGCGGTCCGGGGATCAAATCCTGGGTCGGCCAACCAAGCCTTCCATCCCTCCGGGGTCGGTTAATTGGTACCAGACTTGTCTGGGAGGATAAAAAACACTGACTTGAACATCGGCTGGCCCCCGCAAGTCATTGTATAGGCCACATCGCATTCAAATGCCACTGCGAATGTACAAATGGAAGTAGAATGCGTGCCGCATCCCAAAAAGGGATTGATCAACGGCAAATGCTTTATATCTTTTTTTATCCTTTAATTATTTGACGTTTGTAAACTCACGGGTCTGGACTGGAAATTTCCATTCATCAAGAGATCATCAAAATAGTTTCGTAATGGCCACTAGCTCTCGGATGATATCTAAGATTTTCCTGGGGACTAAGGGGAAGCCGATGCTAGTACGGGTTCACGAAGATCGATGTATCTGAAACGCAAAAGCAGTCCTGCGTAGTCAGAATTACGTTTCTAGAAAACCATCAGCCAGTGAACCGATTAAAGGATTCATGTTGCTGTTCCAGGCTGGAGCGATTACCGTAGGCCTCGTAGGAGTAATGGCAATTGGCGGATGACATCAACGAAGATTTACGAGGGCAGTAAGGAGGATCTGAATTGCTAGTCTAGATGGAGAGACTCTAAGGAATTAATTTTGCATTAAACTATTCTAAAACAGGCGGAACCCCTGCGAGGATGTCGCCATGAGCAGATACGAGTGGCTTTTTTTGCACTACCAGGGTACGTTTGTCTCTATTCGACTATGTCTTCTCCAACACTCCTCCCCCATAAACTATCCCTGGACGGCGAAATAGTCTGAAGGGGTCCAAGTCCAGAGTCGAATCTTACAGACCATCTTAATGATGCGGCCCTCTGTCGAAAGCTTCGCTCCGAGGATGGCATGCTGAGCTGGCAAGGCTGACTAATAAGTGGCAGACTGTTCTTGCTTCCAATGTGGAGTAGGTTTTAGAAACTCTGTGACAGCTGCTATCCTGGCAATTTATAGGAAGCTTCTGTCTGGAACGAACCCAGAAATGGCTGACTGCTTTGGGCATCGGCCGTGCCTTGGGGTTTGCCAGTCTCTTTTCTTCCCGTCACGAAGGAAATGTGCAACTTGAGAAGGGGAACATTAAGGAAAAATTTCTAGGAGAGAGAAAATTCATTTCCAGAGGGCCGCAAATGTGATGGAGCAGGGTATGGATAGGATAGGCGCTAACCAACAACATTGGAGAGGAGTGTGGCCAGGAGCACAATATTTAGGTGGGCCTACCATCAGGATATCGCTATCCATTTCTATTGTTTGCACAGTTTGATACACATTACAGCCGAATTTCTTTGTGGTAATTCTCAACTGTTTTCTGGATAGTGTTTGTCTCGAACTGGGCGCAGGTACCGGTATCGTTGGTTTGGCGAGGTAGCAAAACTTGGAGCGCGTCGTGTTATTTTGACTGATTATCCCAACGAAGGTATATTTCACTCGTCTATAAAACGAATCAGTTTATCGATTCACCGCTATTGCGGTTTCGTTGTTTGGCAATTGATTAGTCGGATGGGCGATAAAGAAGCGAAAGGGGATGGAGAGTATATAGCGACCATGAATAATCTGACATAGGTAATGATGGTTAGTACGAGTTGTTTTATTCTTTTGCATCTTCTGATTTTACATTACCGGCAGATAGAACTTATTAGCTTATGCCATGATGCTTTTCCACCTTAAGCTATGTAAAGAAACTCATCAGCTGTAAGAGTTGATTAACCGCGGGTTAAGTAGAAAATGTATTGCTCGTAGTCTAATTCGGTTCCGTCTGGTATTACGCATGTATCGGACTCTATGTTTTGGATAGTAGAAGCTTTGGGTGCTGAAGCTTGAGTGGATTCGATAGTTTAGAGAGCGTATTGATTTGAAGGTAGTTTTTATTTATTTTTGTTATTTTTATATTATATTATCCTTAACGAATGTTAGGATGATAAGTTTATATAGCATAATCCGATTACCTGGATGAATCGTGTTGCCCTTAGCTGCAAAGGTTTAAATACACGCCTCAGCCGTGGGCTAACTTTGTTCCTCTTCCGTTGCGTTATATACTTCATCTGATTAGACATAATACAATTGTGAGACAATACCTTTTTTGTAATGCAGTTTCACTTCGAACTCGAGCGAAACTTAGGTTCTTTTGCGATATTATTTTTGGGCGATGAATGATCATGCGTACTCGTTAGGTTGGTAAAATACGCTTGTTTAAAATAGAACATGGAATCCTATTCGTGTCACTCTTTTGAATAAGCTATTACAGATTTTGTCTCTGTTGGAGGAAAATGTGAAACGAAATGAGTTGTCAAACGTTTGTCTGGTAAAAGTAAGTGAAGATAATTTTTATTTCATATCAATGATATGGCACTTTTTCACTTGTAGACCAGCTCTTCGAAAGCCTTTTTCGTCAAGTTTCGCTATTTTAAAGATTCGTTAAAGAGTCAAATGCCTTTGAAAACGCATAGAAGTACTTGACTGTAGTGCTAGTGCAAGTGTCATGGTAGATGAAATTCACCTTTTCAATTTAGGGCCTTGACTGGCAGAATGAAGAAAGCGTAACATCTGCCATTAATGGCCTGGAAGACCTCAACTATTTGATCGCAGCTGATGTATTCTATGACATCTGCACTTTCCGTCCGTTAATAACTACGATTTGTCATTTCTTCGACCGTTTTCCTAAACTTCGTTTCTACTTCAGTTATGCTGTACGAGAGTTCGTTACTTCATTATTTCATTTCTTCTTCCTTTTCCTTCGCATACTTCATTCGATTAACGGCGAGTATCGAACAGCAGTGTGAGAGCACGTGTAGGCCACGTCATGATAACGGCGTGGCTGGTCGCGTAAAAACGCCGCTTTTCTCATGGTTTTCATTTAACCCTTTTATCACTATAGATAACATTGATATAATCTTTCGGCGTTAAAATGTCGTGATGTTCCCACTTTTATGTTCCATCGACTCTTGAGATAGCATTTTGATCAAATACATTGTCAATTGATAGGTGTTCCTTCAAACGTACTAATTTGATAGCTTGGAGATTTTTACAGTTCAATGTTTTCAAATGACCTCTCTCTTATCTCTAAGAAAGTGCACATTTTTTATAGCTATCGTCATCATTGAATCTTACCGTATTCACTAAGAAGTTCACAAAAGTAGTGATCTTATAATGAGATCAATCAACTAGGCATGTTCAGCTGTCTGCTATCGATCAATTCGGCTTCCACTAAAACTTTTCTTTTTCATTTCATTTGAGTTTTTGCTTCTGTTCCCTTCTCAATTGAGTTTCAAGTAGTTTTGTGTGGCTATTAATTGAATTACAGCGACAATTGGTCAATTGAAGATCTGCTGGTACTCAGCAATCTTCAAGGTCGTCTTATTCGAACAAGAGAAGTCGAAGGAAATAGTGTTCAAATTTGTGTAGTTTACCGACAAGAGATGACCGATGTGAAATTATCGATCGGACCTATCCTTCTTCCTATGTAAACTATTTTCCGGATCTATCCTTCTGTCAATAAATCGCCCCTTTGTCTAAGCCCATTTTGCCTCCCTTTTCACTGTCTGTCTGTCAGTGAAAATGGAGGCAAAATGGGCATTATCGCAAGATATGGAGAGATTGCGGCGGAAATGCATTTAGAACCTCTTTTTTTTTGTTTCTGACAGAAGTGTAATGGTAAGTCGCAGGGAGGGGAGAAGAGAGGGAGGGGAGCAGGGGCGGCAGAAGGGACACCGCGACCGATTTGAGCATTTTCCACGGAGTTCCTACCTCATTCTAGGGTTAGTCCTTCCCAGGGGATGCCCCCGTACACTATTACGTAGCGCCGGCGAGACGTAGTCGACAGCAACGACTGGCCGCTAGCAAAGCTGCTGATCCATCAGAAAGAAGTCACGGGTATTGCGATCAAAATTCTATGGAAATGGTCCCTTTTCTTCTGCTTAGTAAGGCCTATATTACTCCAAAACAGACTATGCTCTCCTCCGAGGTAATTTCGGAGTCGTAACTGACTTATTGGAGAAATGGGTCGTGTTGGAGAAGTCAATGTTTAAGGCGCCCATTTCTTCGTGGTATGAGCTAGGATTTTGACTGGGTTTTGAAGGATTTCACGACATCAGGGCGTTTTTGAAACTGCAGAGGCTTCTCCATTTGCTCCATGGATCTTTGGTAAAGTGAAAGGTATAAAGAGCTAACACCTGGTGTAATAGGAGGATAAAGATGGCGGATCGTGATCGAGCCCAGATGCTGAAAAAGTGGGGGGAATGGGTATGGTTTTTGTGGATTCTCTCCTAATCAGGGAACCTGCTCCTATCTGCCACATCTGATCACTTGTGAAGGTTGAACATACTTGTTCACTTTTTGCCTCGAAAAAATTTAATTATTTCATTCCCTCCCTCAACTATATGTATTACCCACACTTTTGTCGCACTTTTTCTTACCAAGAAAGGGTGATGAGTCGAAGTGGCTATATGCAATGGACCTACACAGATGCATGTGTTTTAGGACCTCGAATGTGCTTTCCAAATCTGCCAAACGACTTTCTGAATGGAGTTATGAAGCAAAATAGAGCAGCAGTAGTGGTCCAGTCACACCTGTCTGCTGCAGAAACGTCTCTCAGGGAGTTCCGTGGGCTCCATGTGCAGTCGTTAGCGAGTAGCGCCACTTGTTAGGAACTCCTCGCCCTGTTCATACGGATAACTATATGTTAGGCAAACGTTGATCAAGTGACCTAGTCGGAGAGCCTTCCTCAACCGTGTTGTCACGAAGGCAAAAGGGCGAACCGTGGGAGAATCGATCCTACTACATCTCGCCCGTGAGCCTATCTATTTTGCTTCATGATTCCGTTTAAAAAATCGATTGACAGATTTGGAAAGCACTTTCGAGATCAGCGTCCAAAAACACATCCAACAGTGTAGGTCTCATTGCATATGGCCACTTCGCCCACCATCCTTTCTTGGTTAGCTCTCCGCAACAAACTGACAGAATTCATCAGAAAAAAACGTCTCTTCTTCTACGATGAAATACTCGACACATAATTTTTCAGTGGTGCATCAGCGTCGAAATTAGTATTTGTGAATACATCTGGCAAAACGTTAGCGGAGGCATCTACATCAGGAACGAATTACAATTTGGATGGTATCGAACGAACAGCATCATTTATAGCCACATGGGTGCGAGAAACCGCAGCTAAAAATAATATCGCACTGCCTTTGAAAGGACTGGTATGTAATTTTGTTCTTTGCAAGAATGTCTTTCACATCATCTCAAACTCATGGGTGGCGAATTTGACTCCAAGAGATTGGAGTCAAATTCGCCACCCATGAGTTTGAGATGATTTGAACGAATTCATAGTGTGAAAGCTTAATGCGTTCATTTTGGATTCCGTTTTTACCTGCAATTTTGCATGCAGCTGCGATTTTGTCAAATGTGAAGCTGTCAAAAATGAAATTGCAACACAAGGTGGTCCCCTTCGGCCACACTGTTCAAAGAGTTCATGCATGTTCCGTCCTACTCACTACTACCTGGAGACAATCGTACTTTTTTTTGTTGTCCAAGGCAGCTGTTTGCCCAGTGTGACTCCCAGTCTAGTCGACGGCATGAAAAATTTGACAAGTACTCAGTGATGTCGGAAATGAGGTAAAATGGTGGAATAGGCTGAAATAGAGTGCCTTGTCGGGACATAGTGGGGCGAGGTTTGCTTTCTTTTTCTTTTCCAGACCATCCTCACCTTCACATTCATTGTTTACCGCTCTTATACACCAGTTTGTCCCGTGTCCCAATGAATGACGGATTTACAGTATAAACTCCTTCAATTAAACTCCTTTTAAGGGTCTTGGCCTATCTGGAGCGGAAGGTGCTCGTGATAATGCTCTTTTTATTGATTACCTTAAAGTTCATCATGGCGATGTAGCAGACCATTTGTATCTAGCGTCAGATGCAGTAGCTACCGTTGCCGCGGCATTCGAGCAAGGTAGGTTTCTCTATGACATTTCCCAATTTTCCATTCTAATGTTTTCTGGGTTTTATTCCTTATCCCTATCATTTTCTGGATGAGGTATGCGTGAAAAAGTAGGGGTGTTCGTTAGTATAAAATGAAATTGTTCACGAGCATCAACTCCAATTTATTGTTTGATATTTTGCTGTAACTGAATTACGTATCTCCTCTTGATTTGGAAGTGTTCTCTAAGATGTTCTAGTACAGGCTCTTATTAATTTGCGCTTCTCAGTGTTACGCAATATT